CCCGACGCCACTGGGGGGCCGAGGGCCGCGAGCAACTGACACCATCAGGGCTTCGCCCCCTTCCGCCGCCCCGACGACACGAAGGGGGCAAGGGGCCGCGAACAACCGAGATCACCAGGGCTTCGCCCCCCCCGCCGCCCCGACGCCACGAGGGGGCCAACGGCCGCGAGCAACCGATATCATCAGGGCTTCGCCCCCCCCGCCGCCCCGACGCCACGGGGGGGCCAAGGGCCGCGAGCAACCGATATCATCGGGGCTTCGCCCCCCCCGCCGCCCCGACGCCACGAGGGGGCCAACGGCCGCGAGCAACCGATATCATCAGGGCTTCGCCCCCCCCCGCTGCCCCGACGCCACGAGGGGGCCAACGGCCGCGAGCAAATCGATATCATCGGGCTTCGCCCCCCCCCGCCGCCCCGACGCCACGAGAGGGCCAAGGGCCGCGAGCAGCCGACATCATCAGGGTTTCGCCCCCCCCGCCGCGTCGACGCCACGAGGGGGCCAAGGGCCGCGAGCAACCGATATCATCAGGGCTTCGCCCCCCCCGCCGCCCCGACGCCGCGAGGGGGCCAAGGGCCGCGAGCAACCGATATCATCAGGGCTTCGCCCCCCCCGCCGCCCCGACGCCACGAGGGGGCCAAGGGCCGCGAGCAACCGGGATCACCAGGGCTTCGCCCCCCCCCGCCGACCCGACGCCACGAGGGGGCCAAGGGCCGCGAGCAACCGATATCATCAGGGCTTCGCCCCGCCACCGCCGCCCGGACACCGCGAGGAGGCCAAGAACCGCGAGCAACCGAAATCATCAGGGCTTCGCCCCCCCCCGCCGCCCCGTGGCGCCTTGCGACGCCCGAAAGAAATGATGCCTCGCTTGAGCTCGAAATTTGAGAGGCCCCAGCGGGCCCGAGGGTCTGCCGAGGGCCCGTCGCGGAATCAATCCAACGCGGCCTCTGCGCGGGGCCGCCAGCGAGCCCGCTCGCGCTGGATATTGGGCCCCAAGCGCGGTCGGAAAGACATCAATGCCCAGGGCGCCTCAACGCATGGAAAACGCAAGAAAAAACACATGGGCGGCGCGACTCAGCTGAACCCGCCGCCGCGAACATCAAGCGCAGCGCAAACAAATCTTAACGTCCCAGATTTTTTTCTTTTTTTATATAAAAAATGCTAATGTTGGAAAACTTGAAAACACGCGTTCCCTAATGATGTTTTTGCGATGGTGTTCACGCGTCTCTCCGGGCAACTGGACACAAAACGTGGGGGGTCGGCCATCCCCCACGTTTTGTTTCCAGTTGGGACCTCCAGGTTGAGCACCTCGGGTTCGCCATCGGGCCGGGGAATCCAGCTTGGCGCCGGGCCGGCCGCCCTCGCCGCAAGCCGCGGCCCGGCCGCCCTCGCCCCCCTTGGCGTCGCCCTCGCCTCGGCGCTCCGCTTGGACAGCTGCCTGCCTCGTCGCCTCTGCCGCTTCCGCCGCGCGACGCTGCTGCTCGGCTCGGTGCGCGGCCTCGGCAGCCCGCGCCTCCTCGAGGCATCCGTGGAGCCGCTCGGCCGGCTCCGTCGACCCGCCGAAGGAGGCCAGCAGCTCGCCCAGCTGCCCCGCCGTGAACCCGTCGGCCACAGCTGGCAACTTCTGCGCCAAGGAGGGCCCCTCCTGCTGGCTCGGCGTCGGCACGCGCGCGACCAGCTGGCGGCGCTCCTCCTCAAGCTCCAGGAGGAGCTCGGCGCAGAGGCGGTCCAGCTGCGCGCAGGCTTCCTTGACGGCGAGCTTCGCCTTGCACGCCTTCTCGCGGAGGTCGGCGACTTCGCCTCCTGTCTCACCATTGCGCTTCTCCAACTTCTGATGCAAGAAGGAGATTTCATTGGGCCTGTTGCCCGGGCTCAGGCCCGCCACGAGCTTCCCGTGCAGCTCAGCCTGGTGGGCGCGTAGCTCAGCTTTCAAAGCCTTCCACGAGCTTCCGGCGCGCAACATGTCCTGCGCCTCGACCAGCTCGGGACATTTGGACGACTCGAGGGTGACCAAGGACTCGGCAACCACCGCGACTCGCCCAGGAGATGGTCCGTGGAAGACAGGGAAACAGCTAAACGTGACGGCGGCGCAACGGGCGCCGGCGGAGGAGGAGGGGAGGAGGGTTCACCGTTGCCATCTGATGGCCCCACTGGCGCTCCCCGCGCCCCCCGCGCCCCGCGGCGCCGAGCTCGGCGCTGCGCGCCTGCGTGGGCGGTCAGCTGCGCCTCTGCCTGCAGCGCGTCCAGCGTGGCCCGCCGCCCCCTCATGCGGATGCAGAAGGCCTTGAGATCCGCCTCCGCGAGGCGATGGCGCACAGCCGCAGACGCGCGGTACCTGGCCGCCGCCGCAGCGGCCGCGACGGCGGCGGCGGCGTTGCCTCGGACCAGCCAGCTGCTGCCGCGCCCTGCCTCGATGTCCTCGGCCTCCAGGTGGGAGGTTGGCGAAGAGCACCGCCGCGCGCCCTCGATGCCGCTGGGCCAACTTCAGCCCCATGAGCGCCCACAAATCGGCTTTCTCGCCGCGGGGCGAGCAATCCAACCCTTCATGCCAGAGCTCGCAGGGCGGCCCCTGGACGCCGCGGCGCGGGAGATCCTCGGCCTCCCCCATCAAGCTCTCTGGCGCGGGGCTGCAGTGGGCGACAACACGACGAGCCGCGGCCTTCTGGGCCGGCTGGACCGCCTGCGTGTCCAGCGTGGCCGCGGACCTCGGCACCGACTCCCTGCTCGAGCTCCTGGAGGCGGCGCCGCGACTCGGCGAAGCCCTCTCCGACGCGCGGACGGAGGTCTCCCTCCAGGGCGCGGGCCCCGCTCCGGGCGCTTCCTTGCTGGACGCCCTGCAGCGCCCGGCGAAGCAGAGCACTCTCGTGCAAGCTGTGCGAAAGAAAACCCACGCTTCCCTGAGGCAGCGTCTGCACAGCCACGAGCGGGCGACGCTCCTGGGGGCCGGAGGGCCAGGGGCCGCGGGGTTCCTCGGTTACCCGAGCGATCCCGCTTGCTCGCTGGAGGACGCGCTCTGGGTCACGGGGCTCCGTGCCCGCGCGCACTTGCCCAGGCGTGAATGCGCTCAGGCAGAGCTCCAGACGGCTGCGCAGACCTGCCAGAACCGCCCTGCCGCCGAGGGAGCCCGCGGCGCGCCCTGCGGGCAGCCGCTGGACGAGCAAGGCACGCACGCGGCCACCTGCGCCCTGGGCGGCGGTGTGGAGCGCCGCCACGGCAGCCTCGAAAACGCGGTGGCCGGCCTGGTCCGCCGCTGGCTGTACCAGGAGCCGCTGACGGAGCAGCGGGTGCCGGCCTGGGACCGCGTCCGCAACCGGCGGCCGTCGAACCCGCCAGACGCAGACCTCCTCGAACGCGCAATCCTGGACGTCGAGTGCAGCGACGGGGCCAGCCGCCACTGGACAGACGTTTCGGTCCGCCACCCAGCAGCCGAGGACGTGGTGCAGGCGGCGGCGCGCAGGCCTGGCGAGGCCGCCCGGAGAGGCGAGCGCCAGAGACACGCCAGGTACCCGGGGGACAGACTGAGGCCATTCGTGGTGGAAGCCCCGGGGCGCCTAGGCGGAGAAGCCCGACAGTGGCTTCTGCGGCAGGTGCGCACGCTGCCGGAGGACCAGCAGCCCGGCGAGCTGACGCGGGCCTACAAAGCCATCAGCTGCGCCGTGCAGGCTCAGCCTGCGCTGCAGCGCCGCCGAGCAGCCGGGCTGGCTTGACGCCGCGGGGAGCGGCTCGCCCAGGCGGCGGCGCCAGACTGCTGGCCGAGGCCAGGCCGCTAGCTGGAACTGGGCGCGCACTGGGCGCGGCACGCCGGGCTACTGCCTCCTGCGCCGTCTTCTCCCCTTTTCCCCCTTCGCCTCTGCCTGCTCCTCCCCCCCCTCCTCCCTCCTGCCTCCTCGCCTCTTCGCCCCAGCAGGGAGGCTCCAGCAGGGCAGCTTGTGGCCGGCTCCGAAGGGGGGCCAGGCGCCCGTGGCCGGCTCCGAGGGGAGTCCCGGCGTGGCGGCGAGACCCGGGACCCCAACCCCAACGCCCGGGGGCCCCCCTGTGTGACGGGGGTGGGGACCCACTCGGGTGCCCCCGGGCTGAACAGGAGGAGGAGGAAAAGGGGGAGGACAGTGAGGAGGTGGATGAGGAGGCGGCAGCAGAAGCGGAGGCGGAGGGGGAGGAGGAGGCGGCGGACGAAATGGAGGCCCGCTTCCCTCACGGCGAGGAGGTCGTCCACCCGTACGACGAGTGGGTGACCCCCGCGGGCACCAGCGTGTGTGTCGGCACAGGCCTCACAGGCGGCCCGGGGCGTGTGGCCCGGCCACGATTTGGGGGGCAGGCAGTGCCTCCTCCCTCTGCCCCGCCCCCTTTTTCTCGTCCTCCCCCTCCTCCCCCCTCCTCCCCCTCCCCCCCTCTCATCCTCCTCGCTCCCCCTCCTCCTCCTATCCTGTCCTTTCCTCATCTTCCTCCTCCTCCTCGTTTCCTCCCTTGCCTCGACAAGTACACAATATGAATGCTACTCTCCTCCCTCCCACGGCGACGTCCGGGAAATATTCGGCTTCCCTCCGCGTACTGATTTGTTACACAGGATTCCAGGGAAACGGACTTTCGTTTTTTGTATTGTGTTGTTCTTGTTTCGCTGAAGCGCTGGCCTTATTTTCTGGCCACCGTTCGCTCCGAATCGTGCTCCTGCTGCAGCGCTGGCCTCATTTCCGCGCTTCTGTTCGTCCTGAATCGAGCTCCCGCTGCAGCGTCGGCATCATGATTCCCAGCGCCATGCCACGACATGGTTTTCGGTCCTTCCAAATAGGCTTCAAAATCTAGAAAATTGCCCTCCGAGACAACGATCGAAAGTGATTACACATTCGGTGCCGAGTCGTCGATTTCTGGGGTCGCAGAAGCCGCCCCCACTTTTGGGCGTTGCCACGCCATGCTACGTCAGGTTACGCTTCCTCCGAACCGTGCTCCCGTTGCAGCGCTTGCCCCATTTCTGCCGCGCTTCCGCTCGTTCCGAATCGTGTTCCCGCTGCGGCGTTGGCGTAATTATTTCCAGCGCCATGCCCCGGCATGGTTTTCGGTCCTTCCAAATAGGCCCCAAAATCTAGAAAATGCCCCCCCCCGAAACAACCATCGGAAGTGATTACAACATTCGGTGTCTGTTCGTTGATTCTTTGGGCCGCAGAACCCCCCCCCACTTAGGGGCGTCGCCACGCCATTCAATGTCAGGCTACGCGTTGATCTGCAACACCATGCTATGCCATGTAATGCTATGCCCTGCTACGACATCCGACTGTGCGAACAGGGAGGAACCCCACGCCATGGTAAGGGGTAAGAGATGGGAGGGAGGGGGTGGACGTCAGATATGACGCGAGTGCACCTAGCTTGCCCTCCCCCCCTCCTTCTCTCCCTCCCCCTCGCCTCCCCTCCTCCCTCCTTTTCTCTTTCCTCCCCTCCGATCTTGGCTCGGGTACCTTCGGGTACAGGTGTAGCCACAGGCACGAAACGCCTAGCATTACTGTTGATCGCATCGCGAGACTGGACACACGCCAACCTAGCGTGTGACTGATTCGTGTCACCTCCCATTCCAGTATCCGAGCTCGTGCCATGTCCCCGAAAAGGCCCTCGCCGTGAGCGTTCCAATCCTCAGCAACCTCAGCCACCAGGCAAGGGCCGCCACAAGGTACCCTTATCAGACAACAGCCTGTCCCGAAACGAAGCCTGTGTCGGCGCATTCTCGAGCAGCGTCGGCGTCGACCGCACAGTTGCTGCAAACAACGGAACTCGCTCATGACCGCCAAGCTGGAGTCGACATTTCGTTACCAGCAGCATCGCTCCAACCAGCACAAGGTTAGGGGCGAGCTGATGGTGCGCTTGCCAAACAAAGCAACAAGACCAGCCACACCATGCTGCGCCAGACCCTGACGCACAACACGGGCTCCAGCCACTGCCGACACCTCTGCCGACGGCCACCAGGGCCCACGGCCTCTGCCGACGCCCACCGGGGCAACGGCACCGCCCAACCTCGTTAGCTTGGATGCGCGTGCCTGGGGTGTCCCCGTCGCTCTGCTCCCAGCAGGGCGGAGGACGGCACATCGCACACCATGCAGCACATCTCCTCGCAGGCCAGAAGAGGGCAATCGGATCCTCCAGCGAATCCGCCGACAAGACTGCCCCCTCGCACCAGCCGTCATGGGACCGACCATCACCGCTTACACCAGTAAATCAATCCGAATCCTTGTACTCCGTCGGGCGGCTAGAGCTACCAGGCCCACGCCAGGACACATACGCCGCACAGAGGTCAAGTGCCTGCAACAAAACTTCGCCCAATTCACCCTCGTTCCCGCAGGCAGCGTGATCGTGGTCCGTGGAGCTGTCTGCGAAACCGATGGTCTTGTCGTCTCGCCAGCGCTGCAGGAAACATGGGCCCCCCCAGTTTTCGGGAGCAGCTCCCATTGACGGCGCACGCCGGCAAAGAGGTAAAAGGCTCCGCACAGCTGTCGGCCAAGGAACACTAGAAGACGGCGACATTTGACCATGCACGCAGACACTTCGATGACGATTTCACCGACGTCTTGATTGCCATCTTTTCTTCCAACATCCGCGCCGCGCAAATACAGAGGCTCTTGAAGCTACTTTGCGTCGCGGCGTGGCAGTGGGTAAGCGCAGGTTCGGCGCCCTGTTTGTTTAGCCCTGATCGCAACGAACCCGTTCTCTGTTTTTTTGTTCACGGCCAGAGCCCTGTAGTCCGCGCCAGGGGGGAGGGTGTTTCTCTCCCTCCTCTCCCTGCCTCCTCCCGCTCCTCCTCTCCATCTACCCTTTTCCCTCTCCTCCCCCTCCTCCTCCCCCCTCTCTTCCCTCTCCCCCCCTCTGCCCCCCCCCCCCTCCTGGTGCGCACGTAGCCATCATGGCTCAAGCGAGCCCAGCTCGCAGCAGGCCATCGCTGCCCCCGCGCCGCGAGCGGCCCCGCACTCCGGCAGTGGCGCGGCCTGGGCGCCTGCTGCGAGCGCGAGGGCGGTGGCCCGCCGGCTGCGGCGCGAGCGGCGCGCGGCCCTGGGCCTCGGCCGCGCGGGCCATCGGCGTGCGCGTCAAGGCGCTCCGGGCGGCGCGGGAGGGGCACCCGGGCACTCGGCGACGCCACGGGCGCCCATGCTCGGCCCTTCGGCGGGGCCCCCGCGGCCACGCGGCCGCCTGCGGGCGCCGCTGTTCCAGCTCGGGGGCTGCGAGGGCCCGAGTTCCCGAGGGAGCTGGGCGAAGCCCGCCCCGCCGCCTGCTGCCTCCCCTTTGCGGGCGGCCGTCGGTCTCTAGTTTTTGCTCGGGCTGCACGCGCCGCTCGTCGCGGCGGAGGCGCAGGCGCCTATCGTCAGGGCGGCTCCTGGTCGTCCCACTCTTGATCTAGACGAGTCACGCGAGCTGCAATCCTTTCTTATCGATTCCCCTTCCTGGTGAGGTGGCGCCCTCGGTGCTGTGGCCTGGTGTCCGGGGGCCGCTGGAGGTGCCCGCCATGGACGACGTCGCAAGGGTTGCGCATTCGGTCGCCATCAGTGGCGCCAGCATCGGCGATGCCTGCTGAGGCGGGGAAGCATCGCATTGTGCAGTTCTGTCCATTGCTGGAGGCGCTGTCGGAGGCGATCGCGCGCTTCCCACGGATAGGGTCCCCCCCACCATGAATGGCTCTGAGGATGGAAGCGCTGTGCCTTTTTTGTTCCCGACGGGAGGTATGGTGCAGCATGACTTCCGACGTGTTGTCGACCGGACGGGCGACGTGGTCTTCGCCCGTGCCGAACGGCTCGGGCTCCGCGGCACCCTCGAGCGCTTCATGCTTCAGGGCGATGTTCGTGTCGGGGTTGTTCCTTTGGCGGAGGCGCCACGCGTTTTGGAGGCGTCTGGTGGGCTCGTGTATCTCTCTTCGGTCCCTCTCTCTCCCTCGCCCTCCATCTCTCTCTTCAGCGTACGAGCCGGTGTATTTCGGTTGCGTTGCTCTCGTCGTGCGCGTGCTGTTCTGCTTTGTGTTCTCACGGACGCGCTTTTTCCCGCCAGCTTGAATGGGATATCGGCGCCGTTTTGATGTGGCTTATATGTGTCTTTCCAGTAACAGGTTTACCCCTGGGCAATTATTCATCAGGGCATGGGTGGTACCAATCGTTTGCAGTCTTTTGCAGCTCGAAAAAGTATACAGCAGTGCTGTCACATGCGCAGTCTGCCACGCATGACGGACATGCATACCACAGCCTGCAGTTCATTTACACAGCTCAAGCACTACATGCACTTCCTCCTGGCATGTTCTGTTTGGGGAGGGCGGGCCAGGCAGTCTGGGAAAGGCAGGGGCCATAGGAAACTTTAGCTCCAGAACCACCCGTTTCCAGAGATTTCCGCCTTGTCCTCTTTCAGATTTGTCCTGATGTCGCCTTCGTCTTGATACGCACAGTGCCAAGGCACTGCATGGCCCTGGCCATGCACGGCGTTGGTGTATACGTGCCTTCTGCATATCCTGGGTGGGGCCGGGTCCCCTCTCTCTTCGTGGCGTCCTTCTTCATCTCCCCGCAGAGCCCATTTCGGAGCGATCGATCCGAGTCGACATCGATTTCGGCTCGCCCGGTCAGATTCGATTCCAATGTTTCAGCGATCCGAATCGGCCCGATGCTGGCATGGCGATATCGTGCATCCTGGCGCAGCCGACCCGATCCGATTTCGGCTCGGTGCCTGTGCAGCCCGATCCGACGCACATTGCGATTCGACTCGGTTTTCGGATTGGATGCTGACGTATGCTTCCCTCCGAGGCCACACGGGCTCGCTTCGAAAACCGCCATGGCGTAATTTGTCCGATGACGTCCTGTCTGCACCTTGCCGCGTTGGTCTTCCCCCGCGAGGCGTCGTCGATCCTCGACCCAAAAATGGTACGGTGCATGGTCCTTCGGCCCCCTGGGGACGAAAATCTATGCGCCGCTTCGCGGTGGAGCGGGGCCTGGAGCGAGGAAGACAACGGCACGGTTCATGGGCGTTTTCTCGTACCCCCAGGGCTCCCAGGGCTCGTTCCGAAACTCGCCAGGGCATCACCGAATCACTTCAGTTCTCGGCCTCCGGCTGGCCTCGCAGAGGCCGGCACGATGGCGCGTGCTTCGCAGTGGCCCGCGGCTCCTGGACGGGGCTCGAGATCTGGGGCTCCCGCCCCCCGACGTGATTTGTTGTCACGAGTTGCGTTTGACCGTCCTCGGGGCTCTTCTCGCAATATTTGTTGCCACGACGCTCCGAAGGTTTGTCGTATTCACGGCCTCCCGGGTCGGGTAATCGGGCCGCGTATCCTCTGCCTCGCGGGCCCGGTCATCGGGTCGCCACCCCGTGGATACGGAGAGTTATTGTTCGCGGGTGCCCCCCTCGGAACGAATCCAGGTATTGCGTTTTCGAATCCACACCGCGAAGTCGTGCACATGGATGCGATCGCCGCTCGTAAATCTTGGTTCGGTGGCCGCCCAATGCGCTTTTGTTTTTGTTCGAGGGCAAACCACCGGCTTCAAGCAGTGGCGAGGTTTCCAGACGTGTTACAGGCCCACCGAAGAATGTCCGAACAACTCTGTGTGATACATGAGTGTCGTGCTCTGAGCCTGCTGAGACCGTCTTGTTTTGATACGCCTGTTTTGTCTAAGAACACTGCGCTTGTTATTATAGCTTCCTCTTGCCGGCAACATGTCTATATGCATATATATATATATATATATATATATATATATATATATATATATATTGTAGTGGCCTTCGGCCAGTGCCGCCGATCCGGGGCGCTCCGACTGATGTGATCCTTCTTCGCCCTCGTCCCTCCTCTCTTTTTCCCTCCCCTCCTCTCACTCAGCATTTATCGAAGACGCCTACGGCGAATCACCGCCGCCCCCTGCCTTTGTGGAAGCGCCTATGTGGCCGAACGTTGAGGCCAGGCCTGCCAAGCCATCGGACCATGTGTTCCCCGAATCGGTTTGGAAAGCCTTCGGGGAACACGTGAGCGTCTTGATGGTCATCGTCGCCGTCTTGGAGGCCTCTTGGGCGATCTTTCGGCGATCTTTGGGGGCTCTTGGGCCGTGTCGGGCCGTCGGAAGGCCGAAAAAAGGGAAATGCCCAAATCCATCAAAAACCTTGGGAAAATCAGTGATTTTGGCATCTTTTGGCCTTCCTGGAGGCCCTCTTGGGGGCCTCTTGGGCCCTTTTGGGCCAGCTTCGAGCGAACTTCGGCCATCTTGGTGGGTTCCTGGCACGTCTGACGCCGTCGGGAGCCGTTTTGGGGGCCTTTCTGGGCCAACGGGGGACCCTCTTGGGGCGCTCCAGGGCCGTCTTGGAGGCCATCTTGGGCGTCTTGGAGGCCATCTTGGGCGTGTTGGAGGCCTCTTGGGCCGTCTTGGGGCCCTCTAGGGGCCATCTTGGAGGCCACTTGGGCCATCAGGGGGCTCTCTTGGGGGCCTCTTGGGCGATCTTGGGGGCTTCTTGGGCCGTCTTGAGCCGTCGGAGAGCCGAAAAGGCGCAAATGCCAAAATCCTTCAAAAACCAATGGAAAATCAATGATTTTGGCCTCTTCGGACTCTCCTGGAGGACCTCTTGGAGGCCTCTTGGGCCGTCTGGGAGGCCTCTGGGGGGCCTCTTGGGCCGTCTTGGGCCGTCTTGGACTCTCTTGGGCCGTCCTGGAGGCCGTCTTGGACCATCTCGGGCGGACTTGGAGGCCATCTTGGGCCATCTTCGCGATTTTTTGAGGATGTCCCGAGCGAAACGGCCGTTTTTGGGCACGGTGGCGGGACGGGCCGGAGCCCACTGGGGAGTTCTTTTGGAAAAAGAACCAAAACCAAAACCTGAAACGTCCAGCACGCCGTGCACCCCTGCAAGCAGGGGGCGGCGGATCCAGTGGCCGTCGGCCTATCCCGCCACCGTGCGTGGGTGGTGGGTCAGAGGCCTCATGGATGCTGGTTGGGATCTCGTGGTTGGCTGGGACTTCTGGGGGCCTCTTGGGCGCCTCTTGGGGCTTCTTGGGGGCCTCTTGGGCCTCTTGGGGCCACTAGAGGGCCTCTTGGGGGTCTCTTGGGAGCCTCTTGGGGCTTCTTGGGGGCCTCTTCTGCGCCCCTTGGGGCCTCTTGGAGGCCTCCTCGGAGCCTCTTGGTGCGGGAGGGGTGGTACTCGAGTTCGGAACCCCCTCGGAGGCCACGATCCTTGTGAGGGGTGTCAAAAAACGCATCCGCCGGAAACTCGCCCCCCCCCCCACCCCCCCTTCCCCGGCAGAGCCACCCCGGCAACCCCCCCAGAGGCTGAGGCTCAGCCTCGAGGCTGTAGCTGAGACTCCTTGAAACTCACACGCCGGATCGGCGGATATCCCTGGGGGCGAGGCCGGGGGCCCCAGGACAGGTGCCCCGACCCCCCATGGGGGGACCGGGGCTCATTTTCGCTGTGTTTTTACAGGGTTTCCGCGTCCTGGGCCTCGGAGGCCGCCGCCTCCGACCTCCCATGGGAGGACGGGGCGGCCAGGGAGGTCCAAAATAGTCCAGGAGGGCCTTCAGAGGCCCCAAGACGGCCCAAGCGGGCCCCGAGTCGCCGAAAGACCGCTCCAGGACGCCCAAGATAGGCCCAAGACGGCCGAGAGGCCCCCCAAAGGCACTCCACGACGCGTCAAGACGCCTCTCCAGAGCGCTTCCCGAGGCCGAAATCGTCAATTGTACGAAGGTTTTCGAACCATTTTGGCCTTCAGCCTTTTCGGCTGTCCGACGTTCCAAGACGGCTCAATAGGCTCCCAAGAGCGCCCCAAGACGGCCCAAGAGGGCTCCAAGACGGCCCCAGAGTCGCCTAAGACAGCCCAACAGAGCCCCAAGACGGCCCCAAGATGCGCCCAAGAGGGGGACCACGACTCCAAAATTCGACCCTCCCGCTTGAAGAGTGCCCCAGGAGGCCCCAAGGAGCCCCCAAGAGGCCCCAGGAGGCCCCCAAGAGGCACCCAGGAGGCCCGAACGAGGCCTAAAGAGGCCACAAGACAGCCCCGAGGAGGCCCCACAACGGTCCCAAAACGGCTACCGAGAAGCTGCGAAATTGCCTTCACGACGTCCCCGACAGGCCAACCACGAGATCCAAACCAACACCCATGAGGCCTCTGACCCACCACCCAGGGCACGGTGGCGGGAGCAGTGACAGCACTTGTGCACAGCATGTTCCGGCGGGAGCCTTCCGGAACACGCTGCAGGAGGAGGAGGAGGAGGAAGATCAGGAGGAGAGAGAGTTGGAGTGGGAGGAGGAGGAGGAGGGGGACGAGGAGGAGGAAGAGGCCTCCCAGACAGCTCCAAGATAGCCGAAGAGGCTTCCAAGAGGGCCCTGGGCGGCCCACGAGGGCCCCAAGGCGGTGCCTGAGGCGCCCAAGACGGCCCGAGAGGGCCCCAAGACGGCCCCAAGAGAGGCCCAAGAAGGGAAACACGAACCGAGAATCCGAGCTTTCTACCCCGAGAGGTTCTCGGGAAGTCCCAAGAGGCCCCCAATCGGATCCAAGAGGCCCCCAAGAAGCTCCAAAGAGGGCCGACGAGGTTCCAAGAGATCTCCCAAGGTGGCCCCAAGAGGCACAACACATTGTTTTACGATTGGGCTTTGACGGGTTTTAATGTTTTCGGCCTTTTGTCATCCCGATGCTCCAAGACGGCCCAAGAGGCTTCCAATACCGCTCCCATATAAAGGAAGAGGACTCCAAGAGGGCCCCAAGACGGCCCGCGAGGGCCCCAAGAAGATGCTTGAGACGCCCAAGACGGCCCGAGAGGGCCCCAAGAGCCCCAAGAGAGGCTCAAGAAGGGGAACGCGACCCAACAGCAGATCGGTCCCCCCACAAGGCACACAGGAGGCCGCAAGAGGCCCCCAAGTGGTCCGACGAGGACCCCAATAGCTTCCCGAGGGCCTAAGAGGACCCTAGGAGACGTCCAAGAGGCTTTAAGATAGCCCAAGAGTGCCCTCGATGCGTCAAAACTGCTTCCAGGAGGCCCCCGGGAGGCTTCCGGATTGCCTCAATCTGGCCGCAGGTGGCCTCAAGTCGGGCTTCCACGCAGCCAAGACGGCCAATGACGGCTTCAGATTGCAGAACCGATGCCCCCAAGGGACCCTCAGACGCCCCCCCAAGAAGCACCCAAGAGGTGCCTCCAACAGCCAGTTGACGAAGCATGCGGAACACCCCAGAAGCTCCTCAGATGCCGTCGCGCGCCTGTGCTTGATATCGTTGTCCAAGATCGTCCAGCGCCCCCCAGGCCTGAGCTAGAACCTGAGCGCGCGCGAAGCGCGCGCGATGGTTCTAGTATATCTATATATATACACATGTGTATCCATTGTGGCTTGGAGTTTCGGGCTCCTTGCACAGAAATCAGGGGCGCAGTGGATATGGAGAAAGATCTGGCCACTAGAGGCTTGATGTTGTCCATATCCACTGCTCCTCGGCCTTTGGGCGCCCTTTGCCAAAATGTCCAAGACGCAGTGGAGGTACTGATATCATGTTCTCGCGCCCTCTTGTTGCAGGAGCATTCCGTGGTAGGCCCAATGGGGTGGTTGAGGCGGTCGGTCCCTGCCCGGCGGCCGGCCGATCCCACTCCGCCCGCCAGACGCGCACCTTCGGCGCGCCCTGGGCTTCCTGGGCGGCGAGCACCCCGCGGCGGAGCCCGCCGGGCTGCGCGTTCTGCACGACGGCGTCTGCGCGCCGAAGCGCACGCTTGCCGCCGCCGCCGCGGACGTCGGCGGAGTGAAAAGCCTTGGGCCGGCGGCGGCGCAGAGGGTTATAGAGGAAGGAGTACCGCTGAGTTTGATTAGTAGGTCGGCCCCGCCGACTCAAGGATACCCTCGCGCCTTGCGTTTCGCTACCCATGCCTTCTTCATTCCCCAACTCCTAAGATGGGGTTCTTGCTATTACTTGGACGCCTCCTACTCCTCCTTCCTCTTCTTCTCCTCCTCCTCCTCATCCTCTTCCTCCTCATACCTTGACTTACCCATACACAGACTTACTCATACACAGACTTACTCATACTCAGACCTGATCATATTTCATTGTTCATATTCTGACCTACGCATACTCAGACCTACTCATACTCAGACTTACTCATGCTTAGACTCACTCATACCCAGACTTACTCACACTCAGACCTTCTCATTGTCTGACTTACTCAACACACAGCAGATTGTGAGGATGTCTCAGGCGGGACGCTGGTTTCAGCACCCCTAAGGGGAGCCGCCGAGGGGTATTGCACGGTCCCGTTCGCGGCCGTTTTGTGGGGACGTCTCAAGCGGCGTGCCTGTTTTCTGTCTCATCATCTTTCGCTTGGAGAGTACTTTGCGAGGATGTCTCAGGCGTGGCGCTGGTTTCTGCTACCTAAGGGGAGCCGCCAAAGGTGCTTTCACGGTTCCGTTCGACGCCGTTTTGTGGGGATGTCTCTAGCAGTTTGCCTGTTTTCTGTCTCAACATCCTTCGCTTGGAGAGCAGATTTGGAGGATGTCTCGAGGTGGTGGTGGTGGCGCTTGTGGTGGTGGTGGTGGTGTGCGGTGGTCAATGGTGGGGGGTGGTTGTCGTGGTGGTGGGTTGTGGTGGTTGCGGTGGTGGTGGTGTTGTGGTTTGTGGTGGTGGTGGTGGTGTGGCCTTCGGTCTTCCCGTCACCGTGTCTTGGCATTGGGTTGCAGTTCCAATGGGTACCTCCTGGGGTCTCGTCAGAGGGTTCCCGGGAGCGTCTGAGGAGCATGTGTGAGGGATCCTGGGCGCCTCTTGAGCGTCTTTGGGAACTTCCTAAGGGCCCCCAGTGGCTGTTGGAAGGCAAAGGGTCGATATGGTAATTTGTATTTTCCCGTGCCGGCTTCCGTTGGTGCTGCTGGCCATCGCCAGCGCAGGCGCCAGAACCGGCACCGAGGAGAGAGAGGGGGGGTTCAAACCCCGGCCCCCCCCGGAAGCCGGAAGAGACAAGATTGGGGGAGTTAGAATCTAGTGCTCCTTTCCCAGGGGGGGGAGGGTGTCGGGAGGGGGAGGGTTTAGGGGGGAGGGGAGACCCCTTGGTTCTGATCGACGGCGCCGAGATTTGGGGGGGGGCACCCCCTGGTTCGAAACGCGTCGCCGAGTGCTCCCAAGGTAAGCTCCCGTGAAACGTGCTTTCTCAAACAGTGCTGTCTGCACTTGGGTAGTCAAATCTGTGGGTTCGGTCACTATGCACGACCGATTGTGTCCGACCTCGGCCCCTAGCCTGGGGGTTGGGGCTTGGGCCCGCGCATGACAGTACACTGTGTGATCTGCATCGGATGCGAACTGCAAAGCGCAGCACCGCGCGGCACTGGGAACACGAGGGAAGAGGAGGGCGGGCGAGAGGACGAGAAGGGAGGTATCTCAGAGAGCCCCAAGAGGACATCAAACAGGCTCCAAGAACTCCCTAGGAACCTCGAATCGATGTAGGGAAACGCGGCCGCGTGCTCTGTTCCCTTCTGGGCCTTCTCGGGACCCTCTTGGGTTCGTCATGGGGCCGTTCATAAGCCCAGCCTACAGCCAGCGAGCTGAAGGGCGCGGATGAACAGCCTGCTGTGCATGCCGAAGCCAGCGCGACGTCGGAGTGGCGCCCACATTCTTATCGCCGTCCTCCTCATGCTCACCTTCACCTCCCTCCTCGTGTTTGCCCTCCTTGTCGTGCCACACGGGTCCAATACTTTTCAAGAGGGCTTCAAGACGGCCGTGGACGTTTTTTATGACGCCCTCCTGCCCTCATTCCCCCTTATCATCCCTCATTGTTGCCCCCCCCCCCCTCCTTGGGTCCTCCTATCTGAGAGAAGCCGCGTCACAGTCAGAGGAACCATGGTGACATTCAGGGTGTCGCTGATATTTTATATGACGGTCGATGTTGGTGTTTTATGTGAGGCAATGTTTGAGTGCACGCACCATGACAATGCCATTGAAATGTGTGTCAATGTTCTGAAATGCAACGCTATGCAAGACCAGTGCCAGGCGATGCCCGATTGCCCCTATCAGGGTCAGGACAACGACGTCTTTAATAATGCAATCGAAATATAGGTGTTGTGTCTTCTGCTGTCGCAGGCTGGCTGCAGTCCGCAGATTGGCAGAATCTACAGACAGTGGTGCGGGTCGCCCTGCAATGTCTCTAGATCTAGGCCCCAACAATAACCCAAGAGGCGCACTGGATATGGATTGCATCGAGCCTCTCGAGGTCGGACTTTTACCTATATCCAGTGCGCCTCGGATTTCTTGAGAAGGGAGCCCGAGACTCCAAGCTGCAGTGGATACGGGCACAAGTCGTCCCCGCAATGCCATTCCTGTGAGCCCGGGACGTCGTGGGGTGGCTGCGCGTCCTGGCTTCGTCTCACCCCCGGAGGTCTCGACCCCTTCCCCCGGACCAGCTTGTCATTCCCGCGTCGCTTTCGTGACGTTCCCGAGGTCGAGCAAGGGCCCCGAGAGGCCGAACGCAGCGAAAAACTTTCCGTCGTGATTTATCCTCGCCCGAGGGAGTGTGAGATGGAGGAGAAAGAGGGGGGGGAGCAGGGGGAGGGGGATGGAGCGGCAGAGGGGGAGGGGGAGGGGGAGGGGGGGAGAGAGAAGGAAGAGGAGGAGGGGGAGGAGGAGGAGGAGGAGGAGGAGGAGGAGGAGGAGGAGGAGGAGGAATGTATCCTCGTCCTGGCTACGTCTTACCCATCCTTGCCTCGCATGTGGGCCCAGGACGCGCTGGGGAGGCTGCTTTGGTGGCTGCTCGTGCCCAGCGCCGAGGCGCCGCCCGCGCGGGGCCTCCGGCGAGCTGCTTCGATCGACGCCTTTGGCTGCGACTGCATGCGTGCACCAGACGGGGCTGGGACGAGGATGGCCAGGCGGAAGAGTGACCCTTCGCCAGAGCGAACTTTGGTGCGGGCCCACTGTGGTCCCCCGATCGCCGAATGCGATGCAGTAGTAGCGGCTTGCGCGCGCGTGTTTGGCCCCCCTAAGAGCCGCACGCCAAAGGTCAGTTTTTCCCAGGGTCAATCTTGCATGTGGTCGATTGATTTCGATTGCATGCGTGCACCGGCCGGGGCTGGGACGAGGATGAATCCAATCGGCTACACGTACGATTTACCATTCGCCGCAGTGACCTTTGGTGCGGGCTTAACGGGGTCCCCTCGATCGCTGATTGCGATGCGGCAGCGGCTGCTGGTGCATTTGGATCTTGCCATTTGGGGCCCTGTTGATCCGCGCGCCAAAGTCACTCTTGCCCAGTGTCACTCTGGCGTGTAGCCGAATCCAAGGACCGACCGTAACGCTGTCTGTCTTGGCTTGGACCTGTGTTTTGTTGTTCGTCTGGCTCTTTGTTTCTTTCTCGTTTCGTTTGCCGTTGCTGTTTTGAGCGCCCCCGTTCGTTATTCGTTTTGTTTGGCACCTGCGACTGTATGCATGCCCCGCACCCAGACCCCCTCGCGTTGTGAAGAAGTCACGACGGGAGGTTTTTCGCTATTTTTGGCCTCCGTGGGCCCTTACCGGGCCTCGGGACCGTCAACCAAACGACTCAGGATGAAAAGCCAGTCCCGGGGAAGTGGTCGAGGCCTCGGGGCTCGACGTTGTGAAAAGATCACGACGTCGGGGGTCTGGGATGAGGACGCGGATACGCGGAGAAGGTAAAAGTACCCATACCGCTACCTTTCTCTCGTTTCCCCTTTTTGGTCCTCATGGGAGACCCTCGTCGCCACAGCTGGATTCGCGTCGAAATCCTGGTCAGAACTCACCCTGAGAGAGGTCCAGGGAGTATCGGTACCTTTTGATTTGCCCGTGTGTGGATGCACCGGACAGGGCCAGGACGAGGATACATCCGTTCCAGAGCGTTCTGGAATGCTCTCAGAGCGTTCCAGAACGTTTTGATGAGGCCGCGGCGCCCGAGACATCCTCCAGAGCCGCCAGATCTCTGAGTTCCTTACCCTCACCCGATGTGTTCTTCGGCCTGGCTCCGTCTTCGTGCTCGTGCTCGAAGAACGAGAACCCAAACACGGCAAAAGCATATACTTCGAGAGCTTCCGTCCTCGCACTGCTGGGCTCCATTTCTGGGCTCCGATGCGACCTGACCTGAGGTGGTCTAGCCAGGTTCATTTGGGACATGCCGCCCACAAGGTGGTCCAGCCAGCTTCGCCTGAGACGTCTTCATGCTTCTGGGCTTGAGGATGCAGCGCGCGCGGCTAGCGTCGTCTGCGTCATCCTCGCAACTCTACGCACCATGATGCCCTCATCTCAATGGTTCGGCCAGTTTCGCCGCAGACATCCTGGCAACTTCGGCCTCCGAGCTGCCGCTTGCGAGGCTGTCTGGCCCGCGTCGCCAGAGACATTCTCGCGATTCTGGGTTCGGAGGTGCTGCGCGAGAGGTGGTCCAACCAGTTTCGCATGAAATCCTCGCAACTCTGGGTCCCGAGATGGCTCGCGCGAGAGGTGGTCGAGCCTGTTCCGCTTGTGACCCTCGCAACTATGGGATCAACGACGCCGCGCGCGATGTGGTCTGGCCGGTTTCGCTGGAGACATTCCTCGCAACTCTGGGTTCCGAGATGCCTCGCGCGAGGTGGTCCGGCCAGTTCCGCCAGTGGGGTTGTCAGGTCTGCCAAGGGGCATGCCAGGAAGCTCATTCCAAGCGTGCCCGCTCGCTTGTGGCGCACGTTGCCTTGCCCACGTTGTGCCCCAATTCGGGTCGTGCCCGTGCTGGGTTGTGCATGATGGAGCGGCTGCTGGCGCGCGGGCAAGCGCTACTCCTTCTCGGTGACTTTCGCTTCGCTAGGGGCAGCGCGGCACAATTGGCATGTCTCGCTGTGCAGCGTCGCGCGCATTCTCCGCGCAGCGCGCAGCCGCGGGCGTCTTGCCAGGCGCCCGCAGCTGCGCGCTGCGATTGCTGCACGCTTGTTGCACGCTTATCGAATTGCTCGAGAAATCTATTCGCGCCTACTATGCTTGCCGAGAAGTTTCTTGCGCGCGGCAGCATTTGGCCCCCAACCGACAGGTCGAACTCCCGTGGGAAGTGGAGCGTGGGATTGCGTGCTCGGGCTCCCGCTAGGCCAGCGGTCAAAGCGGAGCTTGCGTGCTCCAGGAGGTAGTCCGGGGGGTTGCCCGCGTGAACGGGTGGGTCGCCATTCATTGACGCATGGTCGAGTGGGACCCAGATTTCGCACATAGAGGTCCAGGCGGATCCGCGAACGGCGGGCCGCAACGCGGCACCGTTACTGATCCGCCGGTACCGTTGTGCAACGTTCGCCCGCTGCGGCATGTCGTGTCGGGCGTGTTTGGTGGGTTGCAAAGGACACGCTGTTTTCAAATGTCGTTTGCGGGGTGGCGCTTGCGCGCGAATTAGGCAGAGCGGCGTGTCCAGGAGGTTGTCTAAGGGGTTGTCCGGGCGGTGTCAGGCCTCAACTGTTTCCTCCCCCCGTCGTTCTCGTCGTCATCCTATTGGCGTTCCCCATCATCGCACGGGAAAAGCATTGACGACCGTCGCAACCGATTTCGCATGTTGCGCCGCGTGCGTGCCATGTCGCGCGGGAGCCGTGGCAGAAACAAGTGTTCCGACGATCACCACGTTGTGCCGCAGGCGAGCCGCGTCCTGCAGGAGGTGATCCAGGCACCGGTACCGTGAGGAACACCGAGGCGCGTCGCCCGCGAGCTGCCTGTCACGGGAACCAAATCGGGGACCGCCGCCACAGCAGTCACAGTGGCGCACCCGCGCGGGAAAGAGTTCGGAGACCGCAGCCACAGGGGCCACGATCACGCCGCACCAGATGTCACTGGAACGTGGAGTTTCTCAGTGATCGCCACGCCGCATTCACTCTTCACGCAATCAATCACCATAGCGATCCCCCCTTCGTGTCCCGTTTGTTTGTCGGTCTTCCTTTCTCTCCTCCTTTCCTTCCCGTTCGGTTCCGGCGGAAAAAATGGAAAACAAGGAAGGGGGGCGAGGAGGGGCTGGAGGAAGAGGAGGAGGAGGAGGAGGAGGAGGAGGAGGAAACGCAGACGGACCACCACGACGACGACGACGGTGATGGCGCCGGCTGTTGCTTCGGCGGCGGCGCGCGAGGCGGCGCGCGCGCGCGCTACGGCGCACACGGCCCGTCGCAGCTCGGGTTTCAGAGAAGTCGCCCGAAAGGTGTTCTTGCAAGTCCCGCCTACGAGATCCTCGCAACTTCAGTCTCCTGGCGGTTGCGTGTGAAATTGTTCAATCGCGTCCGCCTGAGGCATTCCTCGCGTCTGCTGGGTTCGGGGACGACGCGCACAAGGTTATTCAGCCAGTTTTGCTCAAGCTATCGTCGCACGTCCGATCTGCCATGACCTGAGGTGGCCCAGCCAGCGTCGCATGACACATCCTCGCAATTATTGCCTCACATATGCCGCGCGCGACGTTTTTAAACCAGTGTCCCTTGAGACGTCGTTGCGCCTCTGGGTTCCGATATGCCTGACCGGAGGCGGTGTGGACCGTTCTTTCGGAAATATCATCAAATGCTGCGCGAGAGGTGGTGCGGCCAGCTTCGAAAGCTTGAAGCGTCCTTGCAGCTCTGGGCTCACAGATGGTGCAAGCGAGGTGCTCCAGCCAGTTCCGCTTGAGGGATACTCGCAACACTGGGCTCATATGTTTTGACTTGCGGTGGTCCTGCTAGGTTCGTTTACGACATGCTGCGCACGATATTATCCAGCCCATGTCGCCTGAGACATCCTCGCAACTCTGGGCTCAATGATTCCGCGCGAGAGGGGGTCCAGCCAGCTTCGCCTGCGACGACGTCAGTCACAACTCTAGACTCCGAGATGCCGCGTACGAGGTTGTCAAGTTAGTTTTGCCTGGAATGTTCTCGCAATTCTGGGCTTCGAGATACCGCGCACGAGTTTGTCCAGTCAGGTTTGCAGGAACCATCCTTGCGATTTCCTGGGCTCCGATTTACTCTGGTCTGAGGTGGTCTGGCCAGCTTCGCATGGGACTTCCTCCAGATTTGGGGCTCAAGGATACCAAACACGACGTTTTCTAGCAAGTTTCGCCTGAGACGTCCTCGTAATTCTGGGCTCAGATGTGCTCTGACCGGAGGTGTTCCAGGCAGTTTCACCCGAGACATCGTTACAATTCCGGGTTATGAGATGCCGCGAGAAAGCTGGTTTGGCCAATTCCGCTTGAGACATCCACGCAACACTGCGCGCTTGCCACGTCCCTGATTGGGAACGGTACTCTCGCCTCAACACTGGCCAAATCCTTTACAGGTGCGTATGGTGTTGTCGCTCGAGTGCCAGCCACATCCGTGATTGGGAATGGTGCCCTCGCCCGAGCTCTGGCTACATCCCCGTCTGGGATAGGTGCTGTCGCCTTCGCGCTGGGCACATGCCTCATCATTAGGCGTGGTGCTCTCGTCTCAGCGCCGGCTGGAGGGGTTGTCTGTGTTGTCCCGGAGGTTGTGCGGGGATTTTGCTGGGTACGATTTTGTCCCATTGGAACATCGTAATGTTTAAGTTGTGTGTTATCTTTACGTATGCGCTCGAGTTACTGGAGCAGTTCTCTTGCTTTTTCGGTTCTTATCAGTCATCGTTGTCACTTGTTGGATGTCGCATGCCGCCTGTTCGGTTCGATCATGCTCTGGGTTTCGACTGGGGACGGGGTTACGACAGTGTGCTCCCTTGCTGGGACCACCAGTAAGTTCCTGTCCGCAGATTCGCCTGAAGCGTTGATCGATGCTCATCCCAGGGTCGTTCGAGTCATCGAATGGATACAACGCGCCGTTTTCTCGACATCGTGATGCCAGGCAATTCTTCGACCGTCAGGCCGTCTCGAGACTGTGTATAAATCGATGTTGGTCTGACTCGGCAGTTCAAGGCTCACAGCGTTCCAGATCGCTCTGAAACGGCCGTGGCGCCTGATATACCATCCAGACCTTTGGGCTGTCAGAGATTCTCGATTTGTTCTCCCTCCCTTTCCTCATTCTTCTCGTCTCCCCTGTGAAGGGGCGAATCCGGGTCAAATATGGTCCCAGATGCGTTCCAAATTTGGCCCAGATCCAGGACCAAATCGGACAGCGCCAGGGTGCGCGCGGGCTTCCATGGAGATGTCGACAAGCTTCCTGGACATTTACCGTCTCGATTTTCTCGAGAGACGGGCCCCCGACCTCTCCACTGTTTCCCTGGGACCGGTCTTGCGTCCCGAGTCGTTTCGGGAGGCTTGAGACGGGGGTCCATGCAAACCGGGGTCAGCCAGGGCGCCAGATCTTGCAGGATCCTGCAGGGCCAGGGTCGCATTGGCCCGAGTTTGGGTGCAGGATCCCGCAGGATTTTGCAGGATCCTTTGCACTGACCCGGGTTTGGGTGCAAAATGTTGCAGGATCTTGCAATGCCTGATTGACCTGGGTCTGGATTGACCCGGGTCAGAGGATCTCCATCGTTTTCGAACGGTCCCGAGGCCCAGACGGGTCGCCGACAGACCGAAAGTTCTGAAGCAGCTCCGTCTCGATTCGCTCGAGACGCCGGAGGCAGGGGCTTTCGCGACTCTGCCCTCATCCTGAGCCTTCGCCCTGCAGCGAGCCTGGCCGCCTTCGGCCCCCAGGCGTGGAGGGCCTCGGAGCACCTGCTGGGCGGCGCGGCTGCGGAGAAGCCGGCCCCGGCCGCGGAGAGGCTTTTAGGGGCAACGACCTTGGCATCGCTCGGACGTGTGCATTTTTCCTTCGGCGAGGACCATCGAGGAGCGTCCTTGATCATTTAGCGAAAAACCACGCACGAAACCGAACAAAGCACAGGGAATGGACGTCCGAGTGATGGCCAGCGACAGGGGCGGGAGGATGCAGTGGAGGCCCAGGCCAAGGATCGACTGCACGCAAGAGTGACTTTTCGCCGGAATGACCTTCGGTGCGGGCCCAAAGGGCTCCCCCGGTCGCTGAGCGCGAAGCGGCAGCAGCGGCTTGCGCGCTCAGCTTTGACCACCCCGCGTCCCCCGTTAAGCCGCGCACCAAAGGTCACTCTTACCCAGGGTCACTCTCACGTGTAGCCGAAAGGAACACCCTGCTTGCCTCCAGGGTGCCCTCAGTTTCTTGGGTTTCGATGGTTCTGCTGTGGAAAGTGCGACGTTCCCGCACCGACAATCAGTGGACGCCCTGGGGTCTCAGGGTTGGGTTTCTCGTCGAAGGTTTCTTGTGGATTGGCCTCCACCGTAGGCGAAGGGGGGGATGCCTCCACCCCCATCGCCCAGTGTTCGCCGACAGGGGCCCGATAGTTCCGACCTGCCCAGGAACGTTCGGATTTATTAGCGAGGGCATATCGCCGATCTACCCCACTTTGCCAGTCGCCCCTGCAGTCGGACCGAGGTATAAGATCGAGGTCTGTTCGGGGAGGGTACCCCAGTATGCTTCGTGTTTTCTGGATGTTCGTGTACACCCTAGGAAGGGTACCTACCCTTTGATGTTCTGCTTGTTTGGGCCGTCGGAGGGTCTCATGCTCTTGAGGGATGTTCTTCTGGCCTAGATCTGGCTTTGCGTTCCACGCGGGGCATCCCCGAGGTCGCGGCCCAGGGGCCTGGCCCGCGAGGCTGCAGATACGGACATGGTTTTTTGGCTTTTCAAGATCCGCTCAAGATCGGTCCCCGGAACCCTCCCTGGGCCCATTTGGTAGACCTTCTTCGCCCTGGATCCGTGTTTGACGATCCTGGAGCTTGAAGACGGCCCCTGGATCCTGGATGCCGAACACGGCAAGAACACTCTCGACCCCTGTAGGTGACTTCGTCGTTGTCCCTCCAGGCTTGGAGAGCCTCGACGCCCCGGGGCACCCGCTGGAGAACCTTCGGGCCCGCGCCTGGAGGAACGGGCCGAACGAAAGGGGGGGATAGGGAAAGGGGGGGGGTACGAAATCTGCTGCATGCAGCTGGTTTCGGCCCCGCCGCCGGCCCCATCCCTCGACACATGGGTGCCTCCCGGCGCCGGGAGGCGCTGGGAAAATCAGCTACGTGAGCTGATTCTCTACCCTACCCTTAGAGTCGGGCCTGTCCCTCTACAGGGGGAATAGTCAAAAATAGCCAAAAATAGTCAGGGGACTATTTATTGAGTATTTCTGTAACCATTTTGGAATATTTTTCAAACATTTTGTTCGTCGAAAATACCCCTGTAGGGGGACACGCCGTCTTAACCCTACCCTTTGCCATCCCTCCCTTTCGTTCCCCCCCGAGAGGAGCGGGGCCTGGTGGCGGCGCGGAGCCTCGTGTGGCCCATGTGATGCGGGCCCGCACCCGGCGGGCCGGGCCGGGCCGGGCCATCGCTCGCGGCGGGGCCGTCACCTACCTCTGTCAAGCAATGGCGAAGCGTCCTGGCGTGCCTATAGGCCCACCGAAGGATGTTCTAAGAACCTTTTGTGGTCTGCGCGAAATGTGCTTAGAGCATGTCTGACGGCACTGACTTGTGTTAACCAATCGGGCTCATGCTCCCAGAAGGCTGTTGTTGTTCTTGGAACATGTTTGGGCTCTGAGAAGATATCGTGGTAGGCCTATAGGGATGCCCGGACGGTCGGCCCCTGCTCAACTCTGGCCTTCCAGGAAAAGCTGAAGGTTCGCGTCGTGAGGTTGCGCAGGGCGGGGAGGCTCCTTTTCTGTCGCCCTTGGCCTCTGGGGGACCCACGCCAGGCCCCCGGGGCCGTCAGGAGAGGACGCAGGATGAGGAGCTCGGAGGCGACGATAGGGGCGAATAGCCCAGGGGGGAGCAATACATCGGAAACTGGAGCATGTACATTACCAGTGGCGGGCTCTCTTTCAATCCCAGGATTTTTTGAGGGTCGGGGACGACGTCGTGGTGGTCGGTGTGGTGTATACTTTTTCCCCGTTTCCCCCGGGAATCAACGAAACATGTATACACCAGGACCCCGTATACACCAGGATCCGCTGTCTTGTGAGAGTTTCAGCGCAGTTGGTGTACAGAGTTCTGTTCCCTAAATACACGTATCCAGTGGGCGAATACGAATCACGCCCGCCCCTCCGCTGTTCGCCCCAAGCGTCGCCCCCGAGAAGCCGGCCCCAGGGAATGGGTCGGGGCTCCCAGGGACCGCGCATGACATGAAACACACAAGTCATCAGGGGCAACGACTTGGGGCATGGGCACAGGGGGGGAGGAGGAGGAGGAGGAGGAGGAGGAGGAGGAGGAGGAGGAGGAGGAGGCGGAGGAGGAGGAGGAGGCGGAGGATGAGGAGGAGGAGGAGGAGGAGGAGGAGGATGCATCGACCCCCATCGCCCATTGATCGCCGATAAGGGGCCCAATAACCTACTTGCCCAGGAACGTACGGATACACTATCGGCGGCCTCTCGCTGATCTATCGGCGATGTAACGATCGCCGATTCCAGGTCGATGCGTGCCCCCCCCCTATGTCAGTCCCTTCCTATGGTTAAGTCGGGCCTGTCCCTCCACAGGAGGACTATTCAAACATAGTCAAACAATAGTCTGGGGACGACTTGTTATAACTATGTTTGACATTTTTTTGTTTTTCTTTGTTGTTTGACATTTTAGGTTTTTTTGCCCAAAATCCTCCTGTAGGGGGACACGCCCGACCTGATCCTATCGTTGCCCCTCAGAGCAAGCCGTCGCGCGTCTGGGTCGGCGTCCGTCAGAGCCCCGAATCATCAGGGGTAACTCGGGTCAGGGATAACTCGGGTTCGTTTTTTTTCGGGAATCCGAACCCGAGTTACCCCGGACCCGAGTTACCCCGGATAACTCGGGCGTCCAGAGCCCCGAATCATCAGGGGTAACTCGGGTCAGGGGTAACTCGGGTTCCTTTTTCGGGAATCCGAACCCGAGTTACCCCGGACCCGAGTTACCCCGGATAACTTGGGCGCCCAAGTCGGTAGGCTGATCCCCAGCTCCGGTGGTCCCGGGGTCCCTCCGCGCCCCAAGCGCCTGACCACTGCCTCTCTGGGCTCCGGGCGGGGCGCGCGGCGCAGGCTCCCTCTCCAGCCCCCCCCCCCCCCCCCCTTGCCTCTCTGCCTCTCCTCCACCCCGCCTTGTCTCCAGCCAGCTTTGCGTCGGGCCTGTCCCTCTACACGAGGAGTGTTCAAATCGTCAGAGCATAGTCTGGGGACGATGCCTTGAGTATTTCTGGACATTGTTGGGGCATTTTTGGGGCATGTTTCATTTCTCGTTCAACATCCGCCTGTAGGGGGACATGCCTGACCTCAAGTCAGCTGGAAGATCCTTTAGGCCATCGCCGATGCATCGGCGATGCGGCTCGATGAGGGGCCCAATTTTCTCCACGCCGACGTCGCCGATGCATCGCCGACTACGCCAGTGCATGGTCGGTGCATCGCCGATGCATCGCCGATGTATCGGAGAAGCGGCGCGATCCTCGGACCCCATCTACTCGGAACCCATCTGGGAGGCCTCAATAGTCTCCAGTTGGCTAGAAGATCCAGCCCGCGGGTGGCCGAAGCGTACCCAGACGGACGGTGGAGTCCTTGCTGGCCTGTCCCACAAGATGGCCTGATCAGCGGGCATCTGCAGCACTGGAGGCTGATGACTCGCAGGGGTGTGAGGACAAAGTAGGTGCGGATAGATGCGCCGCGGAGCCCCTCGGTCACGGCATCTGTCCACCCTCAGGGGGGAGAAGTCGGCCAGCGGGAACCTGTTTACCCGATGGGGATGGGGATGGGTCCATCGATGCCGACATTCTGCGCGCTCCCACGTGCGGCCCGGCAGCGTTGCTCTTGGGCGGGGCGAGGAAAGGAGGCGGACTCCAGCGGTGGCGGGCGGGCTGGTTCTCTTCGCTTGGATCGGACGGAAGGGGGGGGCTTGGGAAGGGTAGGAGGAGGAGGAGGAAGAGGAGGAGGAGGAGGAGGTGAGGAGGAGGAGGAGGAGGAGGAGGAGGAGGAGGGGGAGGAGGGGGGGAGGAGGGGAGGAGGGGGGGGGGGGGGGCACGACGTCTCCTTCGTGCTGCTGGTCTCGGCCCCACCGCCGGGCGCCTTCCTTCGATGCATGGGCGCCTCTGGCACTGGGCGGCGCCAGGAAGACCAGCTCTGTGCGCCGATTCGCCACCCCTGGATTCCATAACAGAGTGGGGAGGGTCACATTTGGTCCTCCGCCTCCTGCCCCTCCTCCTGAACCTCCTGAACCTCCTGAACCTCCTGAACCTCCTCCTCCTGAACCTCCTGAACCTCCTGAACCTCTTCCTCCTGAACCTCCTCAACCTCCTGAACCTCCTCAACCTCCTGAACCTCCTGAGCCTCCTGAGCCTTCTCCTCCTCCTCCTCCTACTACTCCTGCGGGGTCTGATTTGAGCTGTCTTGGAGGGTTTGGGGGGGGTCTCGGCAGAGGGCCGCCCTTTCATGGATGGTCTGGGGGGGTCTAAAACTTCTCGTCTGGGAGGGTTGTGACCCCCCTTTTATCACGAAAGCTGGAGTAAGTTCCCCCTTGCAGACCACCCCCCGCCTCGTCCGACCCCAGAGAAGCGGGGGTGCGGCGGTGGCGAGCGGCGGGGGCGCAACTGAAGGGGGGGTTTGGGGTCCCGGCCCGAGAGCCGCATCGACGAGGCGGAGGCGGATCCCCCTCGTCGCCAGCGCGGCGTGCGCCTGGCCTTGCGTCTGGACATGGATGCTCTTTCTGGTGGCGTCCTGGTCTGCTGTCCAGCTTTGTGGGGGGAGTCTGGAGGAGGGGCAGCGCCGCCCCCGCCCGACAAGATCTTGGGCTCGACGTCGAGGGAGGCAAGACCACCACCCCGACCCCCATGACTGGCGTTGACTAAAGCGCCCCAGGCCGTGTACCAAATACAGCGCTCGATTCCTGCTGAGACTCGTTGGCAGTGGTGCTTGTTTACGAGGGCTGTTCTCCTGCCCTCTATACCACGCTGCTCCAGGTGCAGGCCAGTACGTGTGCATGGTTGCTCCCAGGAGGGGGGGGGTCCGACTGGCCACCGTGTTGGGAGAAGGCGGCTCCCTCGCTTCGCTCTCACCTCCCGTGCCTCCCGTGGGCAGAGCTCCGTCCCACCAGATTTTCTGGGATGGGTGTGCGTCGAAGGTGCCTCCTGTGGGTACCCATCGCGTTGCTGGGGGGAGTCTCTGAGGATCTCCGGTGCCTCCTCGACTTCTGCCTCCGCCTTCGCCTCCTGAGAGGTCGGCGTGCTGATGATCTCTCAGCCCGCATGCCGCCTCCCTTCAGAACTCGGACTCACGAGGAGCGTGCGCCTGATAGGCAACCACGTGTGAACCCGACCCCAGCGGTTCAGATTTTCCCGGTAAGGGCTCCGGCCCAGGGTTCTCTTGTAGTTTGCGGGCCAAAGACCCTCCACCTGAAAGGTGTCGAGCAGCGGCGCCGGAATTGGACACGTAACATTTTGTGTGTGGAGGGGGGGTATCCAATATGAGTCTCGGCACGCGTGCGCTCGGCCTGTGCTTTCACGTGTTTCGGGCCACGACGGGGCCGCATGCGAGGATCCAACTTGTAGGTGCCGAATTCTTCTCCACGTGGGAATGCTTGCGCGGAGGGGAGGGGGGGCCCATCATGCCCCTGTCGCGTGCGCCCACGGCACGTGTTTTCACGCGTCCACGGGGCCCCCCAGGGGGGTGGCGAGTTCTGTGCAAGTGAAATGTCGTGCGCGGAGGTGGGGGGACCAACGGAGGGGGGGGGGACCCAACACGCGCTGGCGCGCGGGGCATGCGTTTTCACGTGTTTCGGGCCACGACGGGGCCGCAAGCGAGGACCCAATTTGCAGGTGCCGAGTTCTTGAACACGTAAAAAGGCGTGCGCGGAGGGGGCGGGCAACATGCCTCTGGTGCGTGCGCGCGGGGGGCAAGTGCTTTCACGTGTTTGGCGCCACGACGGGGCCTCGAGTGAGGGACCGAATTTGCAGGTGCCGAGTCCTTTATCAAGTGAACTGCTTGTCCGAAGGTGGGGGCAACACGCCTCTGGCGTGTGCGCGCGAGGCACGCTTTTTCGCGTGTCCACGGGGCCCCCAGGGGGACCCAACTTGGGGGTGGCGAATTCTTTACACGTGCAATGTTGTTCGCGGAGGGGGAGGGGGGGCCAACGGATGTGGGGGCCAGCATGCGCCTGGCTACGTGCGCGGATGTGGGACCCAACATGCGCCTGGTGCGTGCGCGTTGTGCACGTGTTTCCACGTGTCTCGGGCCAAGACGGGGCCGCAGGCGAGGGACCCAGCTAGGGTGTGGAGAACTCTTCGCACGCGAAAATACGCTCGCGTGCGCGGAGGGGCCGGGGCCAACATGCGCCTTGTATGTGACAGGC